TTTGCTGCATTCACTCTTCTGGTCAGAATTCAAACGCAAATTAAGGCACGTTTTCAAAAATTTAACAAGTATATGTAATAGAACATGTTTACTTTGTGCATACTTAACCACATTTTTTGAAGTAATCCAAGCTAAGCTATCGGCGCCTTAACATGGGTAATGGTTGCGACACTCTATAGCCCATATCTTTCTTTGTAGAATGCAACCCCTAAAGTTTTGCTCATTTCTGTAAGCGTGAGGGTAGAGCATTCTGTCGAGAGCTTTAGCAGAGGCATTTACCTGTTCAGCATGCAGAAAACCAGAAAATTCTATGATTCAGGATTTTGAGGCTTACTGAAAAAATGCTGAAAAAGTTGATATTTTTAAACCTTGATTTTTTCCCTTTCCGCCGATCTCTTTTCTTCAAGCTCTTTCCATGTTTGTTTGTACTACTGATTTGCGGCTACAACATAAGCTAATTATAAATTATACTAACAAACTGTGAAGGGAGCTACGTTTTCTTAAAAACGAGAGCAGTATTTTTCTGCTCTGTGAGATATGAGCATAATATAATGTGCGTTGTATAGCGAAATGTTCGCTGATGGTCATCCGATGGTCTTCACCAGAAAATGTATTAGGTCGTTCCGAAAGTACTGTCGCTTTTTTCGAATGAACGTCACTATTCGTAGAATCAACATTTTCAAGAGTTCTTAGGAGCATTCGATGCAACTTAGGAGCATTCGATGCAACATTTCATCCTCTTTCTAATGGTTCTAATTTCACTGCACAATGTTGATGAGCTCTCGAAAAATCACCAAAACCTGCGACTCATGCTTTTTGCCATGGTCAAGTTCGGCTATTTTTCTAAATTTTTGTACCTAATCTCCGAAAAAGTACAAGCAGCAGGTAGATAGAGCAAACATTTTAGAACACAGAGTAATTTTTTCTTTTCCTTAGCTTGCTTCTCAGAGTTTCTAAAATCAATTTCTCAATGCCATCAAATTCCATATTCAGTCAAGTCAAACCTCACAGAACAACAACAGGCAAACGACTCGGGTGCCATTCGATGCAGCTTTTTCTCCTCTTTCTAGCGTTTTTGTTTCCTATTCATCAAATTTTCCGGGATAAATCAACTCTTCCAAGGCACCCCAAGGTGTACCCGAAATTTTCAAAAGTGGCTAAACCAAAGCGATGAATCCAAACCATAATCCATCTTTGTAAGTTTCAAAATCCGGAGTCTTGTTGGCGTTTGATGCACTTGGGTTTGAGACGAGCCTGCTAAAATTCGGTGGTTTCATCAAAAAATCTGTACAAAAATTATGACGAGTTCTGGAAAGTAGAAAAAAGCTGTGCTGTTTCCTGTGGGGTTTGCTCCATCCATCCATTACTTGGACTCCTTCTGAGGTTTGTTGTAAAATTTTAGAAAAATTGTGAAACTTGGCCATCTCAAAAAAGCATAGGTCGCAGATTTTGACTCTTTCCTGGAAGCTCATTGACTGTATTGCAACAGCTTCATAACTGTTAGAAAGAGAATGAAATGCTGCATCAAATGCTACCAGAATCTCTTACATATCTTTGTTCCACGAAATGTGGCATACGTTTGAAAAAAGCGACATTACTTTCGGAACGACCTAACAGATTGTACAGAATGTTATAGCAAGTTTTTTTTTGAAAAACGCTCATTATTTTTGCATTAACCTAATATTAGGTTGTCCCGAAAGTTTTGTCCGTTTTTTCAACCTATCATAAAAACACGTGGAGCGAAGATAGAGACGCTCTAAGCACTACCCGACGCATCTTTTCCTCCTCTTTCTAACTGTCATGCTCACATTTCGATTACTCTTTTGCTTACTGAGATAAGGACCAAAATTTCGAACCCATGGTTTTTACTATGTCCAAGTTTGGCAATTTTTCACAATCTTCATTTTCAACTTTTGGAAGTCCATTGATAGCGCTCAGATAGAGTAAACAAAGGGCAATGCAATGCAATTTTGCGTATCTATAGCTAGCCTTGAAAATTTTTTAGAATTATTTTTCTGATGCTACCAAATCCCACTTTTGGTGATGCCATGAACCAATAGAGCATAAAACGGCGCACAACTAAAGTGTCATTCTATGCCGCTTTTTCTCCTCTTTCCAGTGAGTGCATTTTTCCTTTAATGTGGGGTCTTAGCGATAAAATTTCCATAATTATTGAATTTGACCCCGCCCCAGCGTGTGCCGTAAAATGCGAAATCTTATATTTCGAAGCTGTAAACGCTCAGTTGCTTTGTAAAAATAGTGAATAATCGTAATTGATTTTTGAAAGCTTCAAAATTCTATGATTTGTTAGTGTTCGAGGCGTTCCTGTATTTTGGGGCTTCCCAAAAGTGAAGACTTTTGGGAAAATTATCTTAAAAAATACTGAAATGCCAGCTGGACAAGCCAAAAGATTGCATTGCATTGCCCTTTGTTTACTCTATCTGAGCGCTATCAATGGACTTCCAAAAGTTGAAAATGAAGATTGTGAAAAATTGCCAAACTTGGACATAGTAAAAACCACGGATTCGAAATTTTGGTCCTTATCTCAGTAAGCAAAAGAGTAATCGAAATGGGAGCATGACAGTTAGAAAGAGGAGGAAAAGGTGCGTCGGGTAGTGTCTAGAGCGTTTCTCTATCTTCGCTCCACGTGTTTTTATGATAGGTTGAAAAAACGGACAAAACTTTCGGGACAACCTAATATTTTGGACCATATATTAGGTGGGTCCGAAAGTTTTGTCGGTTTTTCAATCCATCGGCAAACACTCTAGAATGAAGATAAACAAACGCTTCAAAATGTATCCAAAGCAGAATTTCTTCTTTTTTCCAGCTGCTAAACTTCCATTGTGTCTCATTGCGAGAGTGACAAGATATTTGATGGAAATTACAATCACTCGTTTTTACCGTATTCAACTTTCGCTAATTTTCAAAATTTTCGTATGAGACTTTCGGAGGAGCCCTAATAACCAGCGTATAGGGCAAACCTTTTGCCACAGAAGCAATTTTTTGTAGCCCTACGGCTTGTCTTTCAGAATTTCTGCGATTTATTTTTTGAAGTGACCAAATTTTACAATCATCCTATTTTAACTTCGTAGAACATAAAATGTTGAACATTTCAGTCACCTTTCGATGCAGAATTTTCCCCTCTTTCTAATATCGTCTTTCTTTGCCGAGGCAGGCAAAATCTGTGGGAAAATCGCAGTATTTCTCAATTTCAGAAGTGCGCACTGACGTAACCTATGTTTCAAATCTTCCTAATTTGAAGAGAAAATCGCTCATTTACTCTGTAATGGTAGCGGTAGTAATAATCATGTGTTGAAACCTGTTTTCTATAGGTGTTGCTTGGTGCAATAACAGGTTATGCTATTTTGCCAAAACACAAGACTTCTAGAAAATTATTTAGCGAAAATCTGAAAAAGCGGGTGAAAAAAAGAAAAAAAAATTGCGTAAGTTGGCAAAAGGTTTACACTATCTTCTGGCTATTGGGGCTCCTCCGAAAGTCTCCTTTGAAGCGTTTGTTTGTCTTCACTCTAGCGTGTTTGCCGATGAATTGAAAAAAACCGACAAAACTTTCGGACCCACCTAATAGATGTCTCAATTACAGAAGAAAAATAACAAAAATGAAAAAATCCTCTGAAGATTCGGCACAATACCAAACCAGTGCCTTGAACCCCATGGCTTATGACATGGTCCGAGCACGACGAGATGACGGCAGGTTGCACTCCTCGATAAAGCGCACTGTTCTCCGTGCTTTTCTGACATGAGGCCGAGATGCGGGCAGGTTGAGAGCGAGATCGCGGGAGAAATCTTAACAAAACCTCACGAGGTTGCCCACAGATCAGCCTTTTAGGCCCGAAATTTTGTTGTTGAGATTCTTCGGTTGCTTTCGATCTACATCTTGTGCCCAGCTCTAAACTGGGCCTAAACTCAGACCTGAAGAGTGGCAGAATGATTGCTTTAGGGAACCTAGAGCGGGCGTTGGCAGTTTTCATGATCTGAGAGCATCGAGACAACTTGAGGCCAAGACCTGATAGGGTGGATTACTACCACCCCCGACGACGACGGCATCGTCAGATCAATAAATTCTCTATCACAGAACCTGAAGGCACAAACTACTGACACATTTTTACTGACCCTTATCATGCCCTGATTCAAAGATAAAAGATCTTCAACTTACTAATAAGAATACTTCAGATGTTTTAGAAGTTCCTAAGACATTTTGCTGAAAATCTTTTGTAATGGCAGTTATACTGTGCAATTCGCTCTTTTTCTGTTTGTAGTCAAAGCTTGCTCTTTCATTGGAAAAAGGTACTGTGTTAGACAACAAAGTTATTACGAAACAGTTGGATTCTTGTTGGATTCTTGGATCACCGTTTATATGTACAGAAATTCTCAGCTTCTCAGCGAATAATATTTCTTAGAGAACTTTTGAAACGTTTTATTGCAATCGCCGTACTTCGCAAAATTGCTGTTACATCATTTGTCACGCGCTCTCCCACAAAAATTGAGCAAAACAGCTTTCCGAAATTGCAGAAACCGAGGAAAAACATGAAGTTGCCATATGCAATATAGAATTACATGAAACATGTAATAGTCACCTTGACATTTATTCATATCTGAAGCATGTAAATGTTTGTGTATAGACTAAGTCAGTTCTAATCAAAAGACGACGTCTTGTTGTGACCCAGACAACTACCGCATAGCTTATGAAAGTCTCAAAGCAATCCTACAATTCGACAACATTCGCATCATCTTAGGCCTTGGTCAGTATTATGAGAAGAGCGCTCCAGGTATGCAGTGCCATTAAGCTGAAAAATTTCGTCTAAGTAGAAAAGTCAGCCAGTCATCTCATTTTCACATATGCGTTTTGAATACAACTTAACGGCTATTGGAGTCATGCCATATTTTCCATACGTCATCCTTGGTGACTGTAAGGGAGTGGATTGCAAATCTCCGGGAGCTCAGATAAGTTTATTTGAAACTGATCGAAGAAATTCTATCATATGAAGTCTTCTAAAGTAAGTTTCACTTCACTTACTCCACTTACTCTATCTCAATAAAAGCAGAAGATACAAAAATGCAAATAGGCAGTTTCAGGTCGACTTTTTGAGACGATGTCTGCAAATGATTAATGCTACTATGACCATAAATCCGACAATGGTGGAAGTTGACGATATGCTGACAATGGGATTCATTAGATGTAGTTTTTGATCGTCTTTATGATGGTCTCACTTTTGCAGATTGAAAACGGCAGCGCAGATATCTCGTTGTACGCTTTTCTCCAAAAGCATCCAAGAGAAGAAAAGGTTCAAAAACATCACACATTTATTTTATGACTTGTCCCATCGAACAGTTTTGCAGGTGGCTTTCACGCATCCTTTTGATGTGGCTTACCTTGGATATTTTATAAAGGAGAACACAGAGATTAAAGTTGGCGATTATCTATCTGATGCATTTGATCCAACCGTAAGCAGTTGTAATTTAGCAAAGTAGTACTTTTAGCACTGAACTCACAATAGAAGTTGTTTGACTGAGTAGATGGTTGCGATTTTTCCGGGGAGACCATGCGGGATTTGTACAACAACTTCTTTGCTTTTTTTCATTACGATATCTTGCGTCGGGCCCTGTCGCTTTGAGAGCATGAACGAGCGATGATCGACATTGCTTTGGACATTTTAATGACAAAGTAATTGAAATAATTTCTGACTTTATTACTATTTACCTATCGTAACCTTCATATGCGACGTCAGAGTTTTGGAAAGACAGGGCTGCATTTGTGGCCCACTTCGTTATTGCGTAATGCCAAAGCATGGAAGTCTCATATGCGAAAAGATAAATTTGAGAATGCTATAAATGTAATATTTATAATTGCCAAGCTAGTGTCTCGTTGCCATATAACGGTACGTGGCAGAGTAGGTCCCGCGCACAAAAAAGATACCAATCTCGATTTGTAGCTAAAGTATAGCTGCAAGTTTGCTTCACACTGCACATTTTCTAAGCGATAGCAAATTTTTCCGTAAAGGGTGGGACGAAGTGGTGGATGCAAACGTTTTACTTTTGCATAGTCGCAAGCAAAGATTAGGGGAATCGAAGTCCGAGGCTGCCATTTGGCCAATACAATGGACTCTTATTTTCGGTTCATGATTATACAAACACTTCCATATAGCGAGGATTTATCAATTGGTTATAACGGAGACTATCAAACATGAAGTCCACCAAAAAGCGAGAGCTGAAGGCAGTATACACAGTTACAAATAAGTTGGTATCGATTTCAAATCGTTAAACGCGTTTTCTGGTGGCTCAAAAATCATAAAAATAACTCCAGCTAAGCTATGCTTTTGCCAATGCTGCAACCATCCCTGCAACAAGTTTTTTTCGTTAGATGTTTGTCCAGCGCTTAAACACTCCTGATGTAACGTTCCAATTTTCAGCCCAGTGCCGGTCTTGCTATTAGGTTCGTGCAAAAGTGAAGCGAGTTTTTCTAGCCTTTGTTTTAGGATCATTTTTTTCCATCAAAATTTCTTCTTTGAAAAAAAACTTAGCATATCATCAAGGAGCTGCTTTCATCCTCAATTCAACGGTGGTTGATACCGGCTTCTAGCTTCATTAGCTAAAATATAGTACTTCATAGAACCGCACTCGAAATCGGAATTTCATTGCATTTACTTTTCTGGATAGAAATCGAGCCCAAACAAAGGCAAACTTTTGACACTCTGCTGCTATAATTGAAGAGTTTCTACATTATGAACATCTTACTATTTTCTCAAAAACTATCTAGACTGAGAATTCGGCGCCGCAACATGGGCAGTCGTTTTGATCATTCTGTGACCTATAAATTTCCTTTGAAGAGGGCAATCACCAAAGCTTTGCTCATTTCTGTAAGCGTAAGGGTGGACCTCCTACTGACAGCTTTTACAGGAAAGTGTAGCTGGTTATACGCAGAAAATCAAAAAAAAAACTCCATTTTTTGGCATTTTTAGGTCTGGAAAAAATATACAAGGACAATTCCGGATTTTAATTTTTGCCTTTCCGCAGATTCTCTTTTTTGAACCCTTTTCAACTTTTTTTGTACAACTGGCTCCCGGCTACTAGGCAACTTACTATCTATATTAACAAACTTTGAAGAAGTTATGATCAGTTAAAAACGAAGTTTCAGAAGAAAAACTTTCACTGCTTATCAATCCATATGTTATCTCCCGTTAGGATGTGAATATAGGGGATGTACGCTGTGTTGCGAAAGGTTTGATGCTTCTAATTTTTTTACCGCATTGAAAAATATTGATTTCCTAGAAAGTTATAAGACGTCAAAGTGAAAACTCGCAAAACGCGCATTTCTTTTGCACCAACCTAATATACAGTGCACTCATTTGTCTAACCTGAAAACCGGCAAAGATTTGTGATGAAGTGAGCACTATGAGTAAGTGATTGTGCGTATTTCGGAAATTTCGCCAAAAATTTCACCAATATAGAAGTCTGTTCTAGCCACACACCCAGCATCCTACGAAAATGAATGTCAATGTTTACGCTACATTCTCTTGCTTTCCAGCCAAACGCTCAAAATGGCCTTGTGAAGAGTCAAAAATCTATCACAAATTACCACACAAACGATGCCCATGCTTGGTTGCAAAACTTTGCGGGCAGCAAATTGAGATTGAAATGTATCATTTCCATGGTAGAGCTGAGAGCGAAAATGGAAAATTAAACTAGAGTTATTCGAATTACAAATATTGCATCTGCGGATAAGGCTTACGAATCGCAAAGCCTTTATACAAGCCGAACAGGAGCTTGAAATCCCAATAAAACCTGGCAGGTTCAGTCCAAAGCGAGAAAAAAGGAAGACTTTTTGTCGAGCGCACTAGGTTTACTCTAAAGAGCTTTGCTTGAGATGTTCGTATAAATATGAATCGAAATAAGTACACAATGACCTATTATATTGTATAAACAAAAAAATTCGGGCCAGTCAATTTTTTTCTGCGATGTTTCTGACAACTAACACTCTGACATGTTTCCATCAGGATGGAAAGTTGCATGACATGCGCATCTCGAATAAAATTTGATACCTGTTAAATTCTAAATTTGGAAAAGGTTTTTTGGAAGGTAGGAAAAGTTCGCATTTCAAAATGGTTATTTGAGCAGTACTTTCCGTTGGCTAGCATCAAAGAAGCAAGCTTTCAATGCGACTTCAATTTTGTCAACTTAAGCTTGGTTTTAAAAATTACCGAATGCTGCTAGCTACAAAATAATCTTCGAAATCTCTTTAAATAGCCTAAGTTCACCCATCATTGTGACAGGCAAAAAAAAATTTTCCTGGAAATACAAAAAAATATGAAAAGTTTGTCTTACAGAGAAATTTATTTGCCCTACCACTTATTGTTAGTTCGACCGTCGCTTAATCTTGGCTTTGATTTCGCATTACTACGAGAAAATCTTTTAGAATTTCCGGAACAGAATACTCAGAATCCGACCGCACGTTAAAGTTATGAAACTTTTTCGCTCTCGATAGAATATGTTCTGGATGCAGCTACTACAGCGATCGTAGTGCAAGTGATAAGTAAGAGGAGGCAAGAATGAGTGCTAGTTTATTACAGTGTGGGATCAGCCGATTACCAAGTCAGTGCTTTTACCCCCCAGATTACTCTGGTGCCAATTTACCAGACCCGGAGACTAGAGGGCTTGGCTGGCCCACGGCCGGGATCGATAATGGGTCCGATTTGGTCATAACGCGCCTCATACCACTACGCCTCTCTCTCTAGTAGTGCTCCCTTCTATATTTGATATTAACACAACATTCATATATCCGCAACTTTGGAATAATCCGTAAGCACCGAACAAATAGAATACGCTTTGAGAATATATGGTTGGCACATAAGTTTTGCAACTTTTCCCATAAGTTTCTTCTTTTTCAGTGTAGCAATCTCATTCTCTGCATCTTGTAGAATGTGACGTGTGCTGCAAGTCTATGCAAGCTGTTCGATTACTATAACGTAACGTAGTCGAGAATTTTTTAACATTTTTCGAGAACTGTTGAAAATTTCGAGAAATTTTAAAGTTTATTGAAATTTTATGGTTTTTTTGGCAAACGCGAAGCCGTACAAAACCTGAGTCAAACATATCAAAAAGGAATCATAGGCAGCATGTAGCTAAACGTTGGTACATTCGATTCAGTGGAAAAGAAGGGAAGTCTAAGGGAAAAGTTTGAGAAGTAGAACAAAGCAATGCGTCAAGTTTTGAAGGCGATCTGCCAATGACTAAACTGCGAAACTTCAGAATTCGCTAAAACTTTGCACTATAGGGTAATCCATTACGATGAACACCATATTATATCCATTTGTCGCTATAATGAATTTCATTTCTTGATCTCTCGAAAAGGCCCTTTCATGCAAAACGGGTCCCATTTTCATGATCAGCATGTCGAATAACCCCCATAGGCAAGTTTCAGAATCTGATGCAATCCAAAAATTTCTCCCATTGTACCCTAAACCTGTTGTAACTCTTAAATAAGATGGCAGAATTCGGCAAAAATGTCTACATATGCAGTTTACTTCATAGTCCTTATACTGCCAGAAAATGAATGCGCTATGTTCGAAAAGACAAAAGTTATATAAAAAGTTGCATTGCTTATGTGTCAACCTGATAATTGTTCTATGACTTTATTTTTTTGGACTCGGTAGCGGCACTCGGTTTCTGGAGCGTGAAATTGGGTTACAAGATTTTTAGGGATCCTGCACATTTGAATATGCCGTAAATATTAATAATCTCAATCATTTCCTATTTAAGTCGTTAAGGTGAGAGCAGATTTGCTTGAGTATGGCCCATAGCAAACCCCCTCTCAGCGCAACTCGGCTAGGGGCGGGCCTACGTTAAAAGTAGAACGACTCAGTCCGGCATGCGGTGAGCCATCGATCCAGATTCGGATCGCTTTCTAGACCTAGAGTTCTAGTGCATTCTCACAAACTAAACACCTTGAGCGGTTTGGTCGGACGGCTAAGTGAATGGGTTTCATCGCGAAAGTCCATGGTTTAAGAATGGCTAGTGGCACATTTTTGCGCCACCGCAGGACAATCTTTGATAGCGGCAGTTTTCGAAAAAATCGATGACGACCGCTATCAAGGATATCGCCAAGCAAACAAATGAATAAAACAAAACTGACATGATTTGACGGGGATATCACGAAAAAACGAAAATGCTGGAACATAAAAAATAAAACAAATCAAAAATCTTGTTTAAAGCAGTTTTTGAAAGAGGAACGTGAGCAAGCCCTAAAAGAAGAAGAAGTCCTGCCTTTTATTTTGCTTTTCTCGCCGCAATCAGCTGTTCATTGATCCTCTCCCATATAGGCAGCCGAAATTGTGCAATTTTGGAAATTTTGCACCAGTAGTACGTTAGCTGAATTCTCCCATAAGTTACTCACAAGCAACTTACGGATTTGTCTGATTTCATCTCTCGGGTCACCCGAAAATTCAACATTGGATAAGTGGCATTCTGGGGAACTGAATGTGACACTTGATCGGACAGTTTTCTGATTGTTGAATTGACTATCCTAAAGCACGGGAAGGTGGGCAGGATTAGGTCACCCGAGGAATTTCTTCTGAATGACTAATCTCAAGTCGTTTGAGATGAATGGAGGTTTACTACTGGCCTCTATGAAACGCAGTCAACGGCATATTTTGACACATGTTGTTCAGGTAATACTATTGTTAGTGGTAGCTGGATTTATGGTGGGTTGCCTTCTGCATCTCTTCACGAAACTGTTAACCAAGGATTCTTCCTCATTATCTGACTGTGCGTTTTGCGCTTTTGCTGGTAAGTATCATATCTGCTGCACATCTAGTTGATAAAGGTTTATATAATTACGCCGAAGTTTTTTTTATTTAGCAATTTTCAACAACTCCAATTTGGACAAAAAAGAGCTTCTTTGTTTTCGCTTACTTGTTTCCGCATGGTTGATGTTTGCATTTATGTTGACACAGTATTACGGGGTGAGAAGAGTTTTGAAGTCTGCGGATGTGCAACGTCTTGTAAAATATTGCAACAGGCAAAACTTCAAAGCTTTTTGCTATTGACACACTACCGCGGAGCTCTTTTTGAAAACATGGATCAAGCGATGGATGCGATGGAATATCATGTAGACTGTCTATATACAAGTTCGAGCTAAATGCTTTTCATTCTTCTAGGGATGGAAAATGGTATTCAATGAATCAGTTTATTCGCCACTGCTTCACTGTAATGGTGCTCAATGTACAAGACTGCGAAAACTCCATAAAAGGTGACGCTTGTGTTAATTGTCGGTGAACTTCCAAAAATGGCAAACATGAAATTCTCATTTGTAATCGTGAATGATATGATTGTGAAGAAGAGCCAGATTAACACGGTTGTAACACGAAATCAAGTAGTAGCTCAAAGGTTTCTCAAGCCCATAATCGATATCAATGAAATTAGTTGGCACAAAAATTCATTCGCAACGTATAAAAAATTTGTGATTTCTCTTATTTTTAGCTTTCAAAAGTCTTGCTTGCATTCTAAAGTGAGTTGCCCGTAATCGCCACGATTGCACGGTAAGAAACAGTAAAGAGGAGCGCAACGGTTTCATCTCAAACTTGGATGACTGAAACCTTGCAACATCATACAATACATGAAATAAAAGACCAGCACATAATTGAGGAAATCTCGTTATGAATATAATTATTACTCGCACTGGATACGGCAACTACGTGTAAACCTCCGAGTATGTATGATCGATATTTCAATTTCATTGTAAAGACCAAACAAAGCCGTTTATTACAGAACCTTAGCGTCTCCTAATAAGCATATTCTGGATAGATAGAAACTTTTATCACTAATTAATCAAGACATTACTCAAACCTTGGTTTTCTCTTTGTTCGTAAAGAAGAAGCTTTTGTTAGATAGGACAGGCAGTATGCAGTATTTCAGCTGCTCTTCTGAAAAAACTTTGTGCTGTTTGCACGTCTCCATCAGTTTTCTTATGAAAAATGGCCAAAACTATCAAACTCGTACTACGGTAGCGTCATGGCGCCGTCAAACATGCGTCGGAAAAGTTGTAAGGAAGCGCCGCTTCGGTATAACTTTCCTGAACCCAGTTTCCATAAAGAAAGAGGATTCAATGGAAAGCGACCATTTCAATCTATACAAATCTGCAACTACTTCTTGCGAAAACCGTTGTCAAATACCTGATCCCGCGTTATAGCAGTCATATGATCGATCATGAGCTGGCAATATCAAGACCGGGGTCGCGAGGTTGAGCTTAGCTAAAGTTGACAAGGTACGATTTTGCAAAAGACAGTTGCAGATTGGATAGTTTGAAATGAGCTCTTTCCGACGATACATCTTTCTATGTGGAAATCTGGCTTATATTAGACTTAACCAAAGCGGCGCTTCCAAGGTATTTTTTTAACAGCGGCGTCAACGGTACAGGAATCATAGCTTTTTGTAGAAGGGTACATTCCGTGCAACTTTCGCTCAATTAGAATGAGCACTTGAAATACTTATGATACTAATTGCCCCAATTACTACGAATAGGTTCAAATCATACTATATAAAAAGCGCAAGCATACCCATCTGACGTCATCGCTCGCGCCAGAGATGTAAACATCCGTCCGTCGTTCTGTGCCGGTGCAAGCGTACCGAGCTGATGACTCATAGCAGCAATGATGCCTGTCTCAGACGATGTTGATCAAGTGGCATGACCTAAAAAGTGCAATCACTAGACAAGCTAGCTTCCGTATAGTTCGAGTCGTTTTTAGCAACTCAACTTCGATTGATTTAAAACAGTTAGTTTACCATTTCTCTTAAACCATCATATTCCTTCAATTACGATAAAAGGTTGCAAATTTAGATGCAATATTCCATGAACCAAAAATCTGCACATTTCGTTCCACAATAGCTTTGCAAGAAGCAACTTATTAGGATATTTCCCATATATTTAATTTATTCCAAAACCTCTGATGAGTTCGTACACAAAATTGCAACGAATCCGTCTTTAGAATACTTGTTTTCCAATCCTTTGATTCAAGCACAAACTCTTGCAAGATTTCTATCAAACGATTAGCATTTTTTTAGTTTCAACAAGTGCCATCAACACATTATTGTTAGAAGATTCATTTTCATTTTTTTTGACGTCCCAAGCTTTTGTACTTCTACGCTGGAGCGTTTAGTTTGAAGTGCATCATAACTTTTCAGAAAAGTCAGATATTACAGCAAAATATTGCGGTCTCCCATAATACACTTCTCGAGTGCTTAGTATGTTTTCTCATCCCAAAGCAGTTGCGCCATATCTTTATTCGATAGATTTTTCTGCTTCTTAATTTTTCTGCCAATGTATCTCAGCAAGAAAGAAGTTATCAAAATTCATGCATAAAATGCTTAGTAATTATTTTTACTTCTGAGAAACTGCGCTAAATCTGCCTTGAAAATGTTTCGCATATACTTTTACTTTCTTCAGACAATCTCTGTCTATGATTTTTCAATGAGCATTTCGCTTAAAATTGTCAGGTATTTTGGCAGAATATTTGCAATAATTCGAATTTCAAGTGTCTCACAATGTCGACACTATTCTGCTCATTCAAAAGCAAATTTATTCTGTTTTTAGCAGTAATTCAAGCACAGTCTCGATCGTGCAACACCTTGTTGGACAGTACTTCGCGTAATTTCTCTACAAAACATTGTTGACTCTGTGCAAGAGATCAGAGATTGACACGATTTCCACAGTTAGACGTTTAGATCTCAATCTACACGTTTAGATCTCAATCTACAATTAGGTCAAATTGTAGCATGCCATTCAAAAGGTATTCACAAACATCATTTATTCTGCAAATGTCTTCTATTCAAAAGATGTCAAAGATTGCATTTTATTTTTTCCATCATAGCTTCCACTGTGCGCCTCAAAAAAAATATTCGCGCCTTTCAAAAATCTTATATGTTATTAATGAGATAACCTAAAAATTAAAAATTGCAAAGAAGCTGGACAGTTTGGGAGCCCTTATAAAACGCTATTAAGATTTCGATGTAAAATTCTTTGAAGTAGAGGAGGAATTTTGACGCTTCCATAAAAAATACCTTGTGAAGAGAAAGAGAAAGTGTTTAAATTTGAAAAACCCTAGATTTCGTAGTTATGTTGGTTGATTTTCGCGGATGTCAACCCGAATTTTCCGCTACTTTAATTTCGAAAAGAGATATAGCCTGACACGGGAATGGTCAGAAATCGATGGGCAGTTTAGACAAACTGCATACTACTAAGTGCAGCATAAAACTCTGACTTCGAATTTGAATTCCACATCTGCGCCCTTTGTGGACAAAGTTATTAGCCGTTGAAGGCCGTTAATTTGCTAAGAACGTGCATGAAAAGCATAATTTTGGCAGTACAGAGCCATGTTCGGTTAAATGCTGGGCCAACCATGCAGCTAGGTTACTTACTACTTTTGAAGCCCAATGGTGAACTGAAAGTGCAAAGGTGTGCCCGATTTCGCAATTTTTGCGTATGGTTTTCCCGCAATAAAACTGCTCATAACTTCGTCCACAAAGTCGCTAAGCAGATGTGGAATACAGATTGAAAACCAGCGTATAACGCGCATTAGATTGTAAGCAGCTTGCTTGGATTGGCCAGTTCGACTTTTGACCATTCCCATGTTAGTAAGAACTTTTGAGGGACTGGAGGTTATAAGGCAGCTGGGGGAGGGGGGAGAGAGAAGAGGGTCTTTCATTGTGAAAAGGGTCCAAGTGAGAAGAGTGTACATGGCTGATAAATGCTTACCGGGTTTGCGCTTGCTCCTGGGTGAAAAAGAGCTGAGAGGAGGGGGGAGAGGGAAAGCAATCCTCAAAGGGGTCGAAGAGTAAAACGCTATACAAAATTTGCTATCTGTGGAGCAAAGGAAGGAGCGAAGCGGCGTGAAGAAGCTGGGAGGGAGCAGTCATAATTCTGTTGCCACTTTTGATAAGAAAATCAAAATCTTCGAAAGCAGGAGATCCATGACTTTGATGACTTCTGGGGGTCGTTACGTTCTCAAATCCGTGCCGTACTTTTAGCGAGGAAAAGCCTAAAAGGTCTAACTTTTAGTTACATTCTACTTCACTCACATAGCCAGTCCAAAGCGCCGCCAAGCGGCGCTTTGGACTGGTTTTTTAATATTAGGTTGTCCCGAAAGTTCTCTCGGTTATTTCCATTCCTCAATAAAGCCACAGACCACCAGTCCATGGACGACCTAGATATGGTTTGATTCACATTTTATCCCCTTTCTTACAGCGATATTTGCTCTCTGATCTACCTGTATTTGCAATGTTATCACCATGGCTTTCTGAGCAGCTCAGAAACGCCACAGTAACAGTAACGCCAAATCCTTCCTGATTTTTAAATAATTTCCTCCTGCTATTTTCAGAGAGCGCTAAAAACTGTTATGTAGAGGAAATCTTTGCCTACATTGTTTCCATTTTTGATTAAATGGACCACGTCTATTGAGCCCGTTATATATTTATTCAGTAAAACCGAGGCTTTTTGGTTACGTATACAACGTAAAGGTACCGAAAATTCGAAAAAGCTGGGCCGGTAGTAAACCTGTCGAAACGCGCAGCTCAAACTCAGAGTTAACTCCGAGATAACACGCACCTTTCAGGGACCATTAACACCTGCATAAACAAACCAAATTGGGGAAAGGGTGATATGACAGGATACCGCGCAAGACGTACTCTCAGATAATCGCGGGGGGCAGGCGGCCATGAGATTCATGGGCAAGCATGCACCGGAAAGATAGTTCTTGATTTCTTGCGGTCCGCTTGCAGAAATGAGGAATATTGGCCGATTTTAAACGCATTCTCGGAGAACAGGGTCTTCTCATGGATCAGTTGCGGCACAGTGGCCTCCAACAGGACCATGCGACCCACAATAACCCTGCACATTCTCGCGAACTTTCCGCGAGAATGTGCAGGGTTATTGTGGGTCGCATGGTCCTGTTGGAGGACCGCACAGCCTCCGCTAGGGGGAAAGTACCCCAAATTTGGGTAATCAAACCATCGATGACACCTCTGTCATGGAAACTCTCACCTTTGCTCGGCGTATGCCGGAAACTGCGTAAAAACCGTCCGAGCGCCAGCTGAAAATTTAACCAGCGCTCGCTGAAAGAAATTATTTGACGACCGCTTGCAGAA